CATCTTCCACCTTGCTGAGTTGTCTGTCCTGGATTTTGAATAAAGTAACAAAGCTGCCTTAGCATTGTACAATAGTCTCCTATTAACATTAACTATGGGTTTGAGGAAAAGATTAATTGCTCAGCCTTTCCTTCTAGCTAAAATTCACAAAATAAGCCCCAAGTTTCGACAATGATGGATCTCTCAATCCTGTCAGATAATGACTATTATTTTTCCACTACTATTTTTTATCACATATTTCTGAAAACAGGCCTTTAAATATTAGCTAAAAGACAGATTTTATGTAGAAACAAATGTGATACCGTAAGGCATGTTTTTAAATATTGATTTACAACAATCTCAGTTCTTTGAGATCCAAGTGGAAGAAACTCAAGTTTGGAGAACAGGAGAGATTGGGACTCGAAGGCAGAGACCTGAAGTCACAGCAGCTCTGGTGGCTTCTTCAAGGTGAACGCAGGCGCTTTGCTCATTACAACAGAAAGCAACTTTCATATAATTGGAAATTCTAGGAATACACCAAAACAAGAAGTGAGAAACTAGGAAATGTAAAATTTTTTATGGAAGTCAAATTATATACAGTTGATTTATTAAAAACTGTAGTCCAGCTTAGGGCCCGGGCCCTTGGATGAGTAGGCATCCTTTCAAAGTTAAGGAAAATTGGTATAAGAGTGTCTAATCATTTCCCACAAGTTCCTCAGTATTCTTATTTTAAAAGTTAGTAGTAGATCGAAGCTTATTATTTCCAGTTGTCACCTTACTGAGGGAGGTAATCTCATAGTGACAGAGTGTAGACTAGAGGCTGTCAAGGGCTGGTGACAGGTGGAATGGGGAGTGTGTTCATGGATATGGGGGCTGTTGATTTCTCACGTCAGTGGAGACAAAATGGTAGTGCAAATAGGCCCAGCCAATGTATTCATGGAGATTAGTGTCTATGAGGAAGGAAGACAGGAATAACCCTCATGCCAGCCCCGTTTGTTAAATGTGATGAGTGGAAAGGGAAGAGCTAAGTCTGTGACGTTTTACAAAGGGAGCGACATTTACGAACAGGTAAGTTAGTTGGAGGAGCAGGAAATCTATTATGATGCTCTCTGCAAAGTAAATGGTGGGTTGGGGGGGGCAGAGCTTAAAGGAAACAACCTGGAGCGTGTTTAGAATACTGGGGGGCGGGAGGTGGATCAGTTCAGCCGGAACGAAGTCGGAAGCAGGGGGAAGTGAGAGAAGGAGTCAGATCACATGGGACAGTAGATATTGCCAAGAGGTCTTCAGAAAGCAAGTGACACAGCCTGATCTGAGTCTCTGCAGAACAGGGAGTGGATTAGAGTGAAGGAAGGCTAGGGGCAGGAAAACTAATTTAGGAGACAGGGAGGGGTGATCTTGGTGACACTGTGTGCCTTAACCAGGGTGGTAGCACTGAAGACCAGGGAACAGATGTGTTAAAACTTGAATCAGGAGGACTTAGAAAGAACAATTAGGGGTAAGATGATAGAGAGGAGCCTAGGATTATCACACATTTCTGCCGTGAGCTACATGGATCATTCATTATCTTGGGAACACAGGAGAGGAGAATTGGGAGACTGCAGTTATAGACATCTGGACTTAGATGCTTCCACAAACATTTAATTGAATATGGATGGCAACAAGGCATTGAGTAGTCCATGTCTAAAGCATGAAAGGTTAACCTGGAGCCACGGACACATGAGTCACTGCTTATAGTATGGATCTGAAATGCTCCTCAAAGCCCGCGTGTTCCTCAGCCAGCGGTGGTATTGGGAGGTGGCAGAACCGTTAAGAGGTGGGACTTCATTGGAGGGAGGGAGAGAGGTCACACACTGGAGCACCCCCTTAGAAGCTGTTAGTGGGATGCTGACCCATTCTTGCTTCCTCTGCTGTCCAGCTACCTCGAGGTGAACAGGTCTCCTTCTCTTTATACTTGAACCACAATATCCTGGGACATCGAAGGGCAAGAGACTGTGGACTTGAGCCTTTGAATCCCTGAGCCTAAAGACGTTTTTCCTCTTTGAAGTTGACTAAGGCGGTGTTGTGGTAACAGGAGGCTGACTCACGGATCAATGGACATGGGAGCTGTACGAGGGAGAGCTTGGGGGAGGTAGATTGAGAAGAGAATCTCAGGGCACAACCATGAGGAGGAGCATGAGGCAAGAAACCGATAGAAGGAAGGAGCCTGAAGAGCAGACAGAGGCGCAGCCAAGAGGAAAGAGGAGAAGCCTGGGGTCATTGTATGTCACTGAAGCCAAGAGAGGATGAAATGACGAAATACGCTCAAAGCTGAAGGAAGGTCAGTGGGACAGAGTCGAAATTTCTTTTGAAATTCTTAGTAATAAGGCAGTTGCTGGTAACTTGAAGACTTCAGTGGAAATCTAATTTTCAACAGGCAGATGAGAGATGTGAAAATAAGGCACCAGAAAGAATTAAGAAAGTGGTCTGTGGCAGAGCCAGAGAGAAATGTCCAGTCCAAATGAAATTTTCTTAAACAAACAAACAAAAGATGGGACAGAGTCAACTAAGTTTAAATGGTAAAAGGCTGTCAACAAACCAAGGAAGAGTCGTTGAACATGCAGGAGAGAAAGATGTGATTAATGGAACAAGATGCTGTATAATGCAGGGTTGGGGAGGGGCACACATGGCTATAAGGAAGGGGGAGGGGCGCACACGGGCTTTAGGAAGAAAACAGGGAAGTTACTCAGCTGGGAGAGCGGGCACTGTCATGGGGGGAAGAAAAGTGTGTTGGTTACCTTTTGTTACTGTGATAAGACACCATGACCAAAATTGACTTGTGGCGGGAGGAATGTACGTATTGTCCTGAGCTCTGCAAGCCCAGCAGTGGGAATTTAAGAAGTGCACAGGGGATTTGGTTCAGAACTTTTTTTTTTCTTTTTTTGAGACAAAGTCTTGCTATGTAGCCCAAGTTGATGCAGAATTTACCACCTGGCAGTCGATATGGATAAGTATGAGAGAGTAACTGCAGCGACTGCTGTCTGATAGAGAAATGTAGGATATAGATATGATAGGATGAAAGGGCAGATTATTGAATCCACTTTTAAAGGGCAACAACTTGTTTGAAATGTTTTACACTGCTGTGGGTTTTAGTTTCAGGTTCCTGCTTTGCAGAAGAAACTGCCAGGCATTCTACGGGACACAGAGAGAAGCGACTGAGAGACTCTAGGCCTGTGGGCTGAAGAAGGATGCCCCAGTGTTGCAGAGGAACTTTGGGTGACTGTCCAGGCATCCAGCTGTCTCTGTCATTCTAGATTTTTGGAAGTTGTTTACAATGCACTTCCTGTTTACTTGGGTAGTATTATATCCTTCTGGGTGTTAGGATTATGTCCCCACTCCAGCTACATGACTGCACATGGGCAGTTCAGCAGCTAAGTAAGGGGTCTTGTGTCTTACGTCATCACTGTGAGCTGGTGATTACGTGTGATGTGGCGTGGTCACGCAATCTGCGCATGTGTGGCATAGCTCTGTAAGTCCACCCAGGTGTGTTCACGGGAATCCTTTAAAAAGCTGGACACAGACACCCCCCCCCCACACACACACACACTCTGTTCTCTCTGTCCTCCACTATCTCTATCTCTCTTTCCCTCTCTCTGCTCTCTGCATGTGCTTCTTCCCCAGACCTGGTTCTTTTGTCATCCCCACCCCCTCCTAATAAAGCTCTGATACTGGGTTTTGTCCTGGCTTGTGCCTCATGACCTTTCCGCACGGTAACCAGCACCACTTATCATTTTTAACACTGGGGTCTTTGATGTAGTTGAAGACTAAATAGTTATAATTGTAATTTTCCTTAGTTGTGATAAAAGATAAATTAGATATGAAACTTTAGACTCACAAATATAGGATAGCTAGAATATTTTCTTTAATTTTGCCAAATGCAAAGAGACTAGATATTATAACTGTAATTCTTGCTTGATAACTGTTCTGTTATATGTAATTTGACTATGTTAAAGTTAAAACCTTCCTTTTTGGTGAGATAGAAAAGGGGAAGTGCTGTGGGATGTCTTCCTGTACGCAGTGAATATGTGTTACTCTGATGGGTTGATAAATAAAGCTGCATTGGCCTATCGCAGGGCAAGATGGAGCCAGGTGGGAACATCCAAGAGAGAGATGGTGGAAGGAGAAAGGAGAAGAAGGAGATGCCATCCCATCATCCAGGGAGCAGCATGTAATGGCACACAGGTAAAGCCACAGAACACATGGCAACATATCGATTAATAGAAATAGTCTGAATTTAAATATAAGAGCTAGCTAGCAAGAAGCTTGAGCCATAGGCCATGGGCATATGGTTCATAATTAATATAAGCCTCTGTGTGTTTATTTGGGTCTGAGTGGTTGTGGGACCGGTCAGGACACAGGAAAACTTCTAACTACAATTGTCCCACAGAACCTCAAGTTCAAAAGTGAAGTAGGTGAAGCTGGAGGAAGACACGATGTAAAGAGAGGGTGAAGGAGCCACATTTTCCTGGCATCATAAACTTTTAGTCTTCCTTTTCACACCTATCTATCTATCTATCTATCTATCTATCTATCTATCTATCTATCTAATCTATCTCTCTATCTCTATCTCTCCATTACCTATTTTCATTTTTGTCAGTTTTGCCTTACCATTTAGCAACAGTTCTTTTAGAAAGTGGCATTCAGCTCCAAGCCCCGCTCCATCTCATGTCCCAGCTTGGTCTGATGAAAACCATATTATTTCTATTATTATTATTTTAGTTTTGTGGGTTTTTTTTTTTTGAGACAGGGTTTCTCTGTGTAGCCCTGACTGCCCTGGAACTTCCTCTGTAGCCCAGGCTGGCCTTGAACTCAGAGATCCACCTGCCTCTGCCTCCCGAGTGCTGGGATGTGTGCCACCAATGTCCAGCCTATATTGTTCTTATTTTAGGTATCATCCTTGGAAGATCCCAATGGCCATTGTCATCAGAAGAACTTAGGGTTCTCATTACCCACACAGGATAAACGAGGTGACACAGAAACAGGCATGGTTTTAACATTTTAATGCAAATGATCTTACAGTTAGTAATCTTCTGCTCTGTATTTGCAACTGACTGCCAATAAATAATCACTCCACATCATCAATAGCACATATAAATGCCATGAATACTAGTTGGCAAACTATTATAAAAGCATAAAAGTACTCAGTGTGTGGGAACTTCAGAGAGTTAATGGGAAACCTCAAAATGGCCCCCAAGTAAGCTTGTTTAACCAACCACTGGGGGAAAGCCATCCCTCTGTTATACAGAATTTGTTCATGAGTTTCGATTAGAAGAGAAAGCCATCCCTCTGTTATACAGAATTTGTTCGTGAGATTCGATTAGAAGCTGACCTGGGGATGGGCGTGTTAATGACGGCCGGGTCACAAGAAAGCCCAAATCCGCTGTTAACAGATGAGTCTCCAAGGCAGCAGGGCCGCTACTTCTCATTTCAGATGTCAGTGAGTTGTATAGCAGATACCCACTTACAGCTCTCCTGATGGTCTCCTGGTTATTCCGTCAGAACACTGTGTAGCTGGCGGCAGGCTCTACGCCCCACGCCACTTCCCATCAGATTCAGTGACTTGAAGGTAGCGTCAGTGTTTTTACTTCTCACTGTGTATCCACAGCGGCTATTTTCTTTCTCAATTAAAAACGTCATTTCAGTGAGATAACTGAGCCGAGGCATTCTTGCATTTGAAGCTTATCACAGTTAATGCCAGACTCAACAAATGAAATTCACCCTCACTCACTACTCGGGGATTAGCTGGATGCCATGGCTTTGACATATCTCGGCTCCTCGGTGCTGTGGTGATAAATCTTGCCGGGGAAGCTTCTGTCCTTTCTTACAAAGCATCAGAAGGTAAATGGCATGCAGTGTTCACCGTGGGGACCCTCCGTTTCTTCATCCTGGCGATGATGTCATTCTATTTTCTATGGGAGTAGCAGATTTCCGCTGGTCAAACAGAAAACAAAAGCTATCAATTATTTCATTTTTTTCTTTTTGGTTTTTCAAGACAGGGCCTGTCTGTGTAGCCTTGGCTGTCCTGGAACTCACTCTGTAGACCAGGCCGGCCTCGAACTCACAGATCTCTGCCTGCCTCTGCTCCTGAGTGCTAGCATTAAAGGCGTGCACCACCATGTCTGGCTTATTTTTAAATTCCATTTTTTTTTTCAGTGCTGGAAATTAATCCCGGAGCTTTGCACATGATAGGCGAGTGCTCTACCACTGAACCCCGGACCCTGTTGGGTTTTTTTCCTAACCTTGAATCATTTGGACCTGAAGGTATTATAAGAGTAGGAAGTGAGTAATTTTTTTTTCCCTGTGTCACTCTTCACAATGGCCAGCAAGGGGAGTTATGGGAACAGTGACAGCTGTCTACACCGAGACACGTGAGTAGTCCTCTCCTGGTTGGCTGTTAGTCAGGTTGCCTTGGACTCCCTTCCTGTAAGATGCAGCTTGTGTTTACTGTAGGCTGCTCCAGTTTTCCTTTCCTCTCATAGTTTGCTGATCAAAAGTGAACTGTGGGGCTGGAAAGATAGCTCAGTGGTTAAGAGTACCAGCTTCTCTTCCACAGGACTCAGGTTCGAGTCTCAGAACCCACGCAGTGGCTCACAACCACCTGCAATTCCAGTGTCGGGAGATCTGACACCCTCTTCCCGCCTCCCTGGGCTCCATCATACATGCAGGGAAAAACATCCTTTCACACAAAATAAATTAAAACAAACAAACAAACAAAAAACCCTTTTTGAAAATATTTAAGTGAACTGTGAACTTCCAAGTGGAAAACCTATGATAATGGTGGGACATGGGAAATGAACTGAGTGTTCTGTGCTCAGGTGACTTAAAACCTAATTGTAGCCACGAGTAGCCCCAAAACCCTTAATGCGGATAAGACAGCATTCAGCTGCCTTCAATAAAAAGGGACTTAAATGAAAGGGAGGTGGCCTTGGGGAGATCCAAGGCAAATACCAGGACTGAGGAGGCCTTTGTTCTGCGGGGTTTAGAGAGAGTGACAAGGCACCACTGCTTCCCAAAGCCGAAACACCCAGGGTAAGGACGCTCCTGGGCCCCGGGGCTCCTGGCCCCCAGCCACGGGGGAACTGGAGCGTCAAAGGCGCAGAGAGAGGCGGACCGAAGAGACCTTTGCGGGGATCTGGGCCGAGACTTTTCACCTGTCAGCAGCCCAGGACAGCTCTCTCCCCTTAAACCGCCTTTCACGCTTCTTAGCTCCACCCAGGGCCCTGGGTGCTGTTTCCGGGAGCCCTGGGTTACTGCTGCCATTCTGTGCTCTTTCCGGAAGCCCTCTGTCGCGGCTGCCATAGTGACGGCTAATCACCAGCTTCACACAGTGATTCACTTGGGACCAGAGTCACTGATTCTATCCCTCGGCCCTCCAATATCCTTCCTGGCTCCCAAGTATGACACTTTGCTATTGATGAAAAAATGGACTACAAACCAATGATCACTAGTTTTCTCTCTGTGTACATTTCAATTTGTTTTTGTTTTTGTTTTTGTTTTGGGGGGGGCGGGGGGGGGCAAAGCCTTATTAGGTTACCTAGACTGGTTTCCAACTCATGACCTTCCCACCTCTAATGTACCCAGGATTACCAGGCACATGTCACTGAACCCAAGTACTTATGGTGATTTTTTAAAAAAAAAAAAAAACGTATCTTGGGGGTTGGCAATTTAGCTCAGTGGTAGAGCGCTTGCCTAGCAAGCACAAGGCCCTGGGTTCGGTCTTCAGCTCCAGAAAACAACAACAACAACAACAACAACAACAACAAAAACATATCTTGGGGGCCAGGTGGTGGTGGTGGTGCACACCTTTAATCCCAGCACTCAGGAGGCAGAGGCAGGGGAATCTGCGTGAGTTCGAGACCAGCCTGGTCTACAGATCGAGTCCCAGGACAGCCAAGGCTACACAGAGAAACCCTGTCTCAGAAAAGCACAAAAGAGAAAATAAAATGAATAAACACACCTTGGGGACTGGCGCACTGGTTCAATGGTTACGACACACACTGCTCTTGTATAGGACTGGAGTTCAGTTCCCAGCACTTCTATCAGGGGGCTACAGCCACCTGTAACTTCAGCACCAAGGGATCTGATACCCTTCTCTGGCCTCCATGGCCACATTCACATACCCATATACACACACATCCATGTACATAAATAATACAGTAAATGCCCCCCCCCCCCCAGACAAGGTTTCTCTGTGTAGTTTTGATGCCTGCCCTGGATCTCGCTCTGTAGACCAGGCTGGCTTTGAACTCACAGAGATCCACCTGGCTCTGCCTCCTGAGTGCTGGAATTAAAGGCGAATGTCACCACCGCCCGGCTAGCATTATTTTCAAGCCTTAATGCAATAATGTATGTGAAACCCTTAGTATTGTTACCAGAACATAAGCATTCAACAAATGCTGGTTATTATAATAATAATTATGTTAATGACCATAATTAACGCAGTTCTCAAGAGACGTTTTAAAAATCCTAAGATGCAGTAACGTGTGTCTGAAGTGAGATCAGCTGCTGTGAATAAGCCTGCTCATGTGATACTATGCTTAAGAGAATGTAAGAAATAGGGCTAGCGAGGTGGTTCAGTGGGCAAGGCTCTTGCTGTGCGAGCCTGGTGACCCAAATCCAACCCCCAGAACCCACACAAAGGTGGAAGGGTTCCAGGAAGAAGTTGTCCTCTTTCTTACACACATGTGCCATGACACATACATGTGCATGCACACACTTGCATTAATAATATATATTTTTTTTTACAAAATTTAGGAATTTAAGAAAATAGGGGGGGCTGGAGAGATGGCTCAGTGGTTAAGAGCATTGGCTGTTCTTCCTGAGGACCCAGGTTCAGTTCCCAGCACCCACATGGCAGCTCATAACTATAACTCCTGTTCCAGGGGATGCTCCTATAAACATATATGCAGGCAAAACACTAATGTACATAAAATACAAATGAATAAATTATAAAAAAAAAAGAAAAGAAAAGAAAATAGTGTCTTGGATGACAGCTTATTTGTTAAGAGCACTGACTGCTTTTCTGGAGGACTTGGGTTTGAGTCCCAGCACCCACACAGTAGCTAGCAACTGTCTGTAACTCCAGTTCTGGGGGATCCAGTGCCTGGTTTGGCATCTGTTGTACCCAGAGTCCCCCAAAGACCACCAAGAGACCGAACCTGATGCAAAAGTACAGAGTCTTTGTATTGTTATGAGTTAACTCAGGGCTCTCCATCGCTCTGACGCGTCAGCAGAGCAGGAGAGACCCCGAGTAGCAATGGGGCGGGGTTTTTAAAGCAAGGGGGGCTTGGGGTCTACAGACCTCACAGGAACAAACTCAGGATTGGTTTATGTGAGCGGCAATCGTGTTAGTAACTTTTAATTGGCTAGTGTTAGTTGGGGGTAACAGTTATCCATTTTGGGGCAGTCCTGGACAAGTCCCAGGCTCTGTCCTTGAGCGGCCATGGAGGCTGGCTGGCCTCGCACATGCCCATTGATCCATGCACATAGCTCTAAGTTGGTGAGGGGTCCCAGACAGTAAACAATTGGCTGAACCTTGAGCAGTCAGAGTACGTGCAGAAAGGACTAGGTTTTTTGTTCATGGCCCTCCCAGAAACGGCTTGCTCAAGTCTCAGGAAACTGAAATTGAGGTCTGATCTCCGAGAGATGACTGAGCAGCCTGTTATGGCATCTGCTTGGTCCTTTCAGGTACCAGGCACACGTGGTATGCGGACATACATGCAGGCAAAATATCCATGCATATAAGATAAAAATAAAATAAAGAATTTAAGAAATAGATTAAAATTACAGAGAACTTTGCAAAGTGTTTTAAATTTATTATGTGATATTTGGAAAACTGTGACTCTAGGCTTTTTTAAAAATATTTATTTATTATGTATACAGCCTGCATGTATATCTGCAGGTCAGAAGAGGGCACCAGATCTCATTACAGATGGTTGTGAGCCACCATGTGGTTGCTGGGAATTGAACTCAGGACCTCTGGAAGAGCAGCCAGTGCTCTTAACCTCTGAGCCATCTCTCTAGCCTGACTCTAGGCTTTTTAATAAACAATCATGTGACAAATTCCTTTGCTGTTTTTCAGCAATAGTTCTGAATTCTCTCTCTCTCTCTCTGTCTTTGTGCGCGTGTGTAAAAAGAAAAAAATTGACCCTTTTCCATTTTAAGGCTAGTTTAGAATTTTCTTTTAATCTACATGGTTCAAAATCTTCTCATTATAATGTTTACTCTTCACTTTACAAACCATTCTCAGACAATAATTTTTAGAAACGAGCTATGCTCACTGGCCATACCACTAGGATTAAATTGTCACTGAAGAAGAGTGTGTTGAGTGCGCATCCATTCCAGGCAATGCTAAGACACTGAAGCAGATGAGAAGACCCTGGGATGGTCAGCTTTCCCTTACTGTAAGAAAATGCCTAAAGGGACTGGAGACGCTAGCTGTTGAGAGCACCTTTTGCTCTTATGGAAGACCTGAGTTCGATTCCCAGCTTACAACTTCCCGTCACTCCAACCCAGGGATATCCAACCCCTCTGGCTATCTCAGGCACTCATGTGTACAAACCCACCCACCCCACACACCACACTCAAAATAAGAAAAAAGTCTTGAAATAAACGGCCTAAAGAAGATGGTCTTCTTTTGGCTGACAATTTGGGAAGTTTCCTCTCCTGGTTAGTCCCTTTGCTTTTGAGCCTGTGACATATTTTGGAAGTGACACATGGCAAAAACAGTTGCCTCATGGCTAGGATGTAAGAGAGAGAGAGAGCATAGAGGAGGCTAGACCCCATTGCCCTTCAAAGACTTGTCCCCAGTGTCCCAAGAGACTTTTGGCTAGCCTCTTCCTCTTCATTTGGTATTTTTAAATGTTCTTATTGGCATATGTTAATTATAAACTGTGGAGGCCCACAAGGGTTCCTAGTGAGATCTGAGCTTACCTCACCCAGCAGGGCTGCGTTAGAGGATGGCTGGACCATGTGCATGGTTACCAGGTGATTGGAAGGGTCTGCATTTGGCTGTGCTGGGGGAGGACTTTGCTCCACCCCTTGGCGTTCCTATAAACAGCCCTTTAGAAGATCCAGGAGGGCCAGTGGATAAGGATCCAGATCCACACAAGGCTATCCTATGTTTCTGTCTCTCTCCCCTCTATACTTCTACCTAGTGCTCCTATCCCTCACTCCTTAAGAGTCCCTGGGGGAAACAAATGTGGGAGCTGGTCTCCTACAGTAAAGAATGGGCTCCATTCTGACACTTTCATACACACGCATAATGTATTTTGATCATTTTTACCCCATTTCCCTCTCTTGTTCTCCTCATGTTGAACCCCAACCCTTTCTCAGCTGGTCTTTTCCTTTAATGACCCAATACGCTTCACTAGGGCTGCTTACAGGAGGGAGGGCGGAGTTGCTTCAGCTTTGTGTTGTATTTACTGTCCTCACTACAGAGCAGAGCTGACTGACCAGACAGCCACAGGCTATGTGTGCCTATTGAACACATGATCAGATGGCCATGGGTAATGTGTGCCTTCTGAACACATGATCAGATGGCCATGGGCCATGTGTGCCTATTGAACACATGATCAGATGGCCATGGGTAATGTGTGCCTACTGAACACATGATCAGATGGCCATGGGTAATGTGTGCCTATTGAACACATGATCAGATGGCCATGGGCCATGTGTGCCTACTGAACACATGATCAGATGGCCATGGGCCAT